GGTAAACAGGACAGTGTTATACCTGTGGTAAACAGACCAGTGTTACACCTGTGGTAAACGGACCAGTGTTACACCTGTGGTAAACAGACCAGTGTTACACCTGTGGTAAACGGACCAGTGTTACACCTGTGGTAAACAGACCAGTGTTACACCTATGGTAAACAGACCAGCGTTACACCTATGGTAAACAGACCAGCGTTATACCTATGGTAAACAGACCAATGTTATACCTATGGTAAACTAGCATCAAAAGGTAGCACTTTAAGACACATATATTGGAATAAGTTTTATTAATGTAGTTAGTGACAAACATTGAACAGCTACAAAGCATACATGATATCTGTTTAATTTGTAGGAAAATGAGGATTAAAGACAATGCAGAACGTAGAGGAGCATAACAGGTATAAAATAGTAACTTGAAAAACCAGTATAACTAAGGCAGACAGTTTGTTCAGACAAAGCTTTTACAAGTACACAAACGGAGAAGATTAGAAGGTATGAGGCTAAAAGACAATGCAGAACTTAGAGGAGCATAACAGGTATAAAATAGTAACTTGAAAAACCAGTATAACTAAGGCAGACAGTTTGTTCAAACAAAGCTTTTACAAGTACACAAACAGAGAAGATTAGAAGGTATGAGGCTAAAAGACAATGCAGAACTTAGAGGAGCATAACAGGTAGAAAATAGTAACTTGAAAACCAGTATAACTAAGGCAGACAGTTTGTTCAGACAAAGCTTTTACAAGTACACAAACAGAGAAGATTAGAAGGTGGATTACTGATGTTTCATAATCTACTCCTTACTATAAGTGTGTGTCACAATTTCTAATGTTATAAATAATTCTACGATGTCCAATGAGTTTATTGAGGTAGATGTGGATAAAATAGCAAAAACTATATCTAGAAATAAAATGTTTTATGTTAATCAAGTCTTTCCTAAATGGAGTTTGATAGTTTTTTAATGAACGTTTATATATATATATATCAGAGCTGTGCAAATACCTGTGAGTTTTTGTTTACTGATACTAACATAAGATTAACAGGATGCAAAGTTAACTTAGGCACAGTTGTCACAATTTGTAAGTGACAGAAGAGGTCTGTGGCTACTAAGAAAATAATTCACCTTTTCAAAATTGCAAATGTCCATTTATTGAAAGTTGTTTTATCTTTTTCTTAAAGTGCAAGAGTGTTCACAATAAATGCTCGACACATTACTTTTTGTCTGGTATTTTCCTACTTGGAGCAGATACCACCATATAGCTGAAAACTTAGAACTTAGTAGACTGCTCTAGATGTACATAGATCTGGGGTTTCGATGTGTATTGTCATGGGCGTAAATATCCAGTCAAGACTGCATATGGATACCTTCTGAAATATTTGAGTTTTTGCCATAGATCTAAAGCTTGAATTGCATAAATTTATAGAATTATATTGTAACAAGGAGTCATTTTTCCACTAAGCAATAATACTAAACATAAAGCATTACACAGCCGAGATCTAAATCTTGTATTTTTCATGCCTCGATCATAAACCCTCATGTGGCCTAAATAATTGAGTAGTCTGGCATTGGCCAAGGTAGGCTATTTAACACTACACTGTTCTA